GCCCTGGCTCTGACACCCCACGGAAAACTTGGGGGGGGGTGGTGTTTCAGCTCCTTTCCAGTCTCCTGGGACAATGAGGCCACTCTCCCTCTAAAGAACACTAAGGACGTCGTTAACATTTAACCAAAATATTCCTATCAAGCCACGATAAGCTTATACAAAGCACAATATTATTTCTCTTTCGCAGTTGGGTAAATAAAGGCACAAAAGACAGGACAGACTCGCCCCCGGGTCAGGTAAGAAAGGTGGGAATAGTATCGAGAGACTCCAATTGTTCCTGGCTTCTGATTTAGGAAGTTTAGCAGGGAGAAGGAAAAAAAAATATAAATAAAGATGGGAGGGAATGAACGTTACTTGATAAAATTTGTATTCCCTTTTACTCACTATTTTTGGGTTTGGCTTGGTTTTTTTTTTTTTTTATATCAATATGAGTTTTAGGTGGATGCACAAGCGCTTGGAACTCGGATCCCAAATCCCAACCACCATCAAAACTCCACCACAAGCTGCTCCTGGCTTCAAAGGGGAACCTGCTTTGACCTATATTTCTGGCAAAACGCCCTCAATAAAGCATTTCCTGGCGTTTCTAGCCGAGGCTTCAAGAACAACCCCTCCCCTTTCTCCCACCCAACCTGCCTGGCCTTGCCCCTCCACCCCAACGGACAATCCAAGACCTTTCATTTTAACGGATCAAAAGCTTTGGAGGAAGCAGCTGGTGGGACTGGATTTTTTTCATTGCCATCCAGTGAAATGCAACCCCCCCCTCCCTGGACAGGTAAAGCTGGGGGGGGACTTCTTCATCAGCTTTTGAAGGGGGGTGACTCCCCTTTTATAAAGTATTTCAGGAGCACCTTTCCCAGGCCATCAATGCTGCTTCTTCTCACACAGCCGTGCCAGGGGTTCTGTGCCTGGAGGCTTCGTGGCAGATGGTGGCAAAAATCACCCTTAAAAGCCCTTGGAGGCATCATTTTCCCCCTCCATGAGGATAACACGGGTCTTTGTGGCCTCCTCAGTGCACCTGGATTCCTAAAGGCTGGGCTTTCTCTCTCCTGCAGGCTGCTATCCCTATGGAGGGGGGAAAGGAAAAGGGGGGAAAGGAAAAGGGGGGAAAGGAAAAGGGGGGAAAGGAAAAGGGGGGAAAGGAAAAGGGGGGAAAGGAAAAGGGGGGAAAGGAAAAGGGGGGAAAGGAAAAGGGGGGAAAGGAAAAGGGGGGAAAGGAAAAGGGGGGAAAGGAAAAGGGGGGAAAGGAAAAGGGGGGAAAGGAAAAGGGGGGAAAGGAAAAGGGGGGAAAGGAAAAGGGGGGAAAGGAAAAGGGGGGAAAGGAAAAGGGGGGAAAGGAAAAGGGGGGAAAGGAAAAGGGGGGAAAGGAAAATGGTTCCCTGCGGCACAAGGCTGGTGTGAGACCATGGTGATGGGCTTCCCCCCCTCAAAATCATCATATTGACCATAGAACTGCAGGATAAACCTCACTCTGGGAGCTGAAAAATATAACAAGGGGCTTATACACCCCTCCCAAGGGGGCAGGGATGGGGCCAGAAGCAATTTCAGCCAAGCCAGGCCCTTCCCAGGAAGGAAGGAATCATTCAAGATGATTCAAGGATTGTAGCATCTCCCTTATGAGGAGAGACTGAGAGAGCTGGGACTCTTTAGTCTGGAGAAGAGAAGGCTGAGGGGAGACCTTATTAATGCTGACAAGTGTCTAAAGGGAGGGTTGAAGGAGGAGGGAGCCAGACTCTTTTCAGTGGTTCCCAGTGAGAGGACGAGGGGCAACGGGCACAAGTTGGAACAGAAGAGGTTCCACTCAAATATGAGGAGAAACTTCTTCACGGTGAGGGTGACAGAGCCCTGGAACAGGCTGCCCAGGGAGGGTGTGGAGTCCCCTTCTCTGGAGATCTTCAAGACCCGCCTGGATGCTCCTGAGTAACATGCTCTGACAAGCTCTGGGTGGTCCTGCTTCAGCAGGGGAGGTGGACTAGATGATCTCTATGGTCCCTTCCAACTCTAAAATTCAGTGAAATTCAGTAAAGGAGCACTCTGAGGGCACGCAACAGAGCACTGCTGCCAGGACAACTGAGCTACCCTCAGCCCAAAACTGGTAATTCCCAACCCCAGAGCCAGTTCTGGGGAGAAACAACAGCTTTGAGTCCTGAAGGAATCTCACCGGGAGCAACACAGGAGGTCGTGAGCTCGGAACGAGGAAACTCTAAAATTCAGTGAAATTCAGTGAAGGAGCACTCTGAGGGCACGCAACAGAGCACCGCTGCTGGGACAACTGAGCTACCCTCACCCCAAAACTGGTAATTCCCAACCCCAGAGCCAGTTCTGGGGAGAAACAACAGCTTTGAGTCCTGAAGGAATCTCACCGGGAGCAACACAGGAGGTCGTGAGCTCGGAACGAGGAGCCAGTTGGGTTTTTTTGATCAGCTTGGTGAGCACAGCTCGGGTGTTTCTGAATTCGGGCTGGATTATGGATCAGCAAGAAAGGAACAAAACCTACCGAAACGTTGCTACGCTTTAGTTTTGCAGTTATTTGTGCTCTGTTTTAACAGCTTCTTGATGGTGATGGTACCTCTTCTGGCTTAGGAGCCAGAGAGAGAACAGACCCTGTGTGTCAGGAGGTGGTTGAGACCCCATAGGGGGAAGGATTCATAGAATTGTCCAGGCCGTGAGGGACTTCCAAAGGTCATCTAGTCCGACCCCCCCGCAGTCAGCAGGGACACCCCCAACTAGACCAGGTTGCCCAGGGCCTCGTCGAGCCTCTCCTTGAATATCTCCAGGGATGGGGCCTCAACCACCTCCCTGGGCAACCTGTTCCAGTGCTCCACTAC